GCACTTTGAACTTGGACTTTTAGCCTCCAGATTGTGAGAGAATAAACTCCTGTTTGTTAAGGCCATCCCATTTGTGGTATATTCTTGTCAGAGCAGCACTAGGTAACCAGAATAGAATTTGATACCGAGAGGGTGGGGTGCTGCTGACAGATACCTAAAATGTGGAATCACGAGCAGAGTGTGTCCTTGACCCTGGCAGAGATACCCCCGGCATATGGCATGAGAGACAGCAGGAGCAGAGCCAAGACACTGGCAGAGAGATACCAGCAGAGAGACCAGCATGCAAGATGGCAGTAGTGGGGCCCAGGGACTGGCATTAAACAGCAACAGGCTTACCAGCCCATGGAGGAGATAGCTGGGTGCCATTGGGTAGGCAGCTTCCTGGTAGAGTAGGTTGCCTTTGGGCATTAATTGGTGAAGAGACGCATAAAATGGAATAGCAGATTGTCCAGCCTGTGGAGCAAGAAAGCTACGTGTTCTTTGGGCAGGAAGATTTCTGGCAGAGTGGGTTGCCCTCAGGCATTAATCAGCAGAAGCGGAGAGACCAAGGAAATGGAAGCAAAGCTGCCTCAGCCTTTAGTGTGGAATGACCACAGCCCCCTAGGTTTCAAAGAGCCAGGCCTTCACCAACTTGGTTCTGGAGTGTAGGGTTGCTCATTCATGTGAGCCAGTGGGATGGAGCCATAGCCACTGCCCAAGAGTGAGGGGGCGGGGCTGCCATGGCAAAGAGGAACAGGGCCTGCCAGGCCAAGGGGGTGAGGTCACCACTTAGAGGAAATAGGGGACTGGAGCCACCCAGTGGAGACCTGTACAGATACCACCCATTGAAGATTGTACAGGTGCCAAATTGACAAGAGGTAGAATTGTGGTGGTTATATTTGTGTGTCAGCTTGGCTGGGCCTGATTGAGTGGTTGGGCAGCTGGTGGTAGTTATTCCTCATGATGAGACTGGCAATCAACTTCGTAGTGGGATCTACCACAAGCAGCTGAGTAGCTGCTTTGGAATGTGGTCTGCTTCCTGTATGTAAGGTGAAGCCTTGGGAATAGTCTCTAGCCTATGGCACACTTGGACCCTGTGTGTAGCTATGTTGTTGTTCAGCAGCCTGCCCTGCTCTGCCAACCTCAGGACTTACAATAGACTTAAATTAATGGCCTGCCATGTGGTTTGGTAACATCAGGGCTGTACCTTTTTTATTTGTCAACCTTGGGCTTGTTAGCCTCAGCAGCCAGTAGTTGCCTGAATGAAGAGATGCCTTTAGCTTCAGTGGGCCGGGAACAAGAGGCAAAGCTGAAGCCCAAGTTTGAGGGGCTTTCACCCAGCCCCTAGAGCCTGGCACTTTGAACTTGGACTTTTAGCCTCCAGATTATGAGAGAATAAATTTGTGAAGGGAGCTCCAGCATCCTTGAAGACTGCTGTGACTGCTATTTTATGTAAACCAGATTTGACAGTGGGAACTGCCCTAATTGAACTAAGACACTTAACTACAATGGGGCTGATTGCACCCCGTGGTAGTAGGGGCCAAGTGGCAGCAGTTAATCAACAGAGGCAAGGTGGGCATGGTTACCATAATGGACAGCAGAGTCAGAACAGTAATCAGAATAGTCTGACTTGTGTGGAATTATGGCATTGGCTACTTGCACATGGTGTTTCTAGTAATGAAATACATGGCAAACCTACTAAATAATTTACTTGATCTGTATAGACAGAAGAATTCTAGGTCACATGAACAGCAGCTTATATTGAATCGCCAGAATACAGAGTCACGGTCTCTCAATCAATTCCCAGACTTGAGTCAGTTACACAACCTTCTTTTCTAAAAGTGAAGGCAACTTGAAGTGCGTACTGATGAAGGTAAAAAACTGCACACCTCAGTATAGATGACCTCTGAACACAAAGAACACAAAACTACTTACAATTAGACCAATAAACAGCATGATCAATGGAAAATAAATTGATGTTTTCAAGGATTTCATTCTTTTTGAATTAACCATGAATGCCCATGGAAGCAGCAGTCAAGAAATCAAAGGACATATTTCATTGGGTAAATCTGATGCAAAAGAACTCTTTAAAGTGTTAAAAAGCAAAAAGGTCACTTTGAAGACTAACGTGTGGCTCACTAAAGCCATGTATTTTCAATTACCTCATATGCATATAAAAACTGAACAATAAAAAAGAAAGACCAAAGAAGAATTGATACACTTGAATTGTGGTGTCAGTGCAAAATATTGAATATATCATGAATAACCAGAAGAAGGAACAACTCTGTCTTGGAGGAAATACAACCAGAATGTTTCTTAGAAGCAAGTATGGAGAGAGTGTCTCACTTACTTTGGACATGTCATCAGGAGGGACCAATCTCTGGCAAAGGACATTATACTTGGTAGAAAGTTAGCAAAAAGGAGGGGGACCCTCAATGACATGGACTGACACAGTGGGTGCAAAAATGGACTCAAACATAAAAACAATTGTGAGAATAGTGCAACAACATTTTGTTCTGCTATACATAAGGTTGCTATAAGACAGAGCCCATGTTGCACTAGACTACTGTTCCGACTTAGGGTCACCATAAGTCAGAATCAACTCAATATCAACTGTTTGTTCTAAAGTATATACATCTGTATGGGAGCTTTGGGTGAGCTCTGGTGGTGTAGTGCCTAAGGCATTTGACTGCTAACCAGAAGGCTGTTGGTTCAAACCCACCAGCCACTCCTCAGAAGGAAGGTTGGGCAATCTACTTC